GAAGAAGGAGGAGGAGGGGAGGAGGGAGGAGGAGGAGAGGGGGGGGAGGAGGAGGACGAGAACCTGGGGGACGGGCCCCCTGGGTCCCCCCCGGGACCCCCCCGGGTCCGCCCCCCACCCCCACCCTGCCCACCCCCTGCACCGGGGAAGGGAAAAGGAAAGGGGCTTCCCTCCGAAGTATTAACAACGTTCAATCAATAGCGGGAGAACGGTGAGTGGAAGCTGGATGCGGCTAGAGAAAGTCGAGCAGGAAAGAAAGCACGACGCGAACGAAGAAGCCCCTCACACACGCCGACAGGGTCGGCGGATTTTACCGAAGAATGTGAATACTACTACTAGTGAGGAGAAGAAGGAGGAGGATGAGGAGGATGAGGAGGAGGTGGAGGAGGAGGAGGAGGAGGAGGATAATGATGCGGAGGAGGAGGTCGAAGACAAGGACAAGGACGAGGAGGACGAGGAGGAGGAAGAGAAGGAGGATGAGGCGGAGCAGGAGGAGGAGGAGGAGGAGGAGGAGGAGGAGGAGGAGGAGAAGGAGGAGGAGGAGGAGGAGGGAGGAGGAGGAGGAGGAGGAGGAGGAGGAGGAGGAGGATGTGGAGGAGGAGGACGAGGAGTAAGATCAGCAGGCGGGGACGCAGGAGGATGGCACCAGAGCGAAGAGGAAGAGGAGGAAGAGGAGGAGGAGGAGGAGGAGGAGGAGGAGGAGGAGGAGCAACAGTAGCATGAACATTAGCATGATCAGGAGCAAGTGGAAGGAGGACGAAATTGCAGTTTCTCCACGTGCACAGTTTTCCTTTGGCGACAGGCTCGGTTGAGACGAGCAAACGGAGGGCGCGTGACGCAGGTCACTGCCAAGTACATCCTCATCGCGTGCGGCGGCCGGCCGAACTTGGGCGGCTACCCTGGTGTCGAGGACGCCGGATGCCGGCCGAACCTGCGCCATCTACCATGCCAGGTGACCAGGACTAGGTGTGGAAGCAGCATGCATGGAGAGTGGGGGGCAGGGAGGAGGAGGTGCATGAGGGGCAGGAGGGGGAGATCGGATCGGATCGGCAATTCAAGGAACTTCTTGGTGAGAAGCCGACTGGTGGAGGATAGCTCCAGCCCCAGAGGGGAGAAGGGGATGGAGGAAGAGAGCCCCTCGTCCTCCCTCCCCCTCCCTCCCTTCTCCCTCCTCCCACCTCCCTCCTCCCTCCTCCCTGCATCCTTCGTCCTCTCTTCTCCCTCCTCCCTCCTCACTCCGCCTCATCCTCCCTCCTCCCTCCTCCTCCTCCCTCCTCCCTCCTCCCTCCTCCCTTCTCTCTCCTCCCTCCTCCTTCTCCTTCTCCCTCCCTCCCTTCCTCCCTCCCTCCCTCCCTACTCGCTTCTTCACTCCTCCCTCCCTCCTTCCTCCTCCGTCTTCCTCCCTCTTAGTCCCGCCTCCTCTCTCCTTCCTCCTCCTTCTCCTTCTCCTCCTCCGTGCCTCCCTCCCTCCCTCCCTCCTCCCTACTGCCTCCTCCTCCTTCCTCCTCCTTCCTCCATCCTCCCTCCTCCCTCCTCCTCCGTCTCCTCCTTACTCCCTCCTCCATCCTCCTCCCTTTTTTTTTTTTTTTTTTTTTTTTTTTTCTCTCTCTCTCTCTCTCTTTCTTTCTCCTCTTCCTCCTCCCTCCTCCTCCCCTCCTCTCCCCTCTCCTCCTCCTCATCCTCCTCACCTCCTCCTCCTTCTTCTTCCTCTTTCCCTTCCCTCCTCCCTCCTCCCTCCCCCTTCCTCCTGCTCCTCCTTCTTCTCCCTCCTCCCTCCTTCCTCCTTTCTCCTCCCTCGTCCCTCCTCCCTCCTCCCTCCTCCTCCTCCTCTCCTTCTCCTCCTCCTCCTCCTTCTCCTCCTCCTCCTCCTGTCTCCTCTGCTGCTGCTGCTGCTGCTCCTCCTCCTCCTCCTCCTCCTTCTCTCTCCCTCTCCCTCCTCCCTGCTCCTGCTCCCTCCTCCTCCTCCCCTCCTCCTCCTCCTCTCCTCCCCTCCTCCTCCTCCTCCTCCTCCTCCTCCTCCTCTCACTCCCTCCTACTCCTCCCTCCTCCTCTCTCTCTCTCCTCCTCCTCCCTCCTCTCCTCCTCCATCCTCCTCCCTCCTCTATCCTCCTCCCTCCTCCCTCCTCCCTCCTCCCTCTCCCCTCCTTCTTCCTCCCTCCTGCTCTCTCCTCCCCCTCCTCCTCCTCCCTCCTCCCTCCTCTTCTCTCTCCTACTGCTCCTCCTGCTCCTCCTGCTCCTCCTGCTCCTGCTCCTGCTCCTCCTCCTCTTCCTCCTCCTCCTCCTGCTCCTCCTCTGGTCGAAATTTCCAAGCTCTGGCCTCCCTTGCCTCGCTATTGAGAAGCCCCCGATCCAGCACTGCATCGACGTTTTTCTCCAATCCCTGAGGAACATCTCGGTCCGCTCCGAAATCACGTATATACTTAGGTATGTCATCCTGCTGTATCTTGTGCTCGTCATGATGTAGTGATGGTGAGTTTTCGGCGATTCTGTGCCCTGGTTCCCAGTTTATGATCTTTGTCGGTCCTTACAGGGAGCACGAGTAGCTGGTGCACTCCGCGACGTTTTCGGGCACCCACCAAGAGGCACTGCTGGCGTCAATTCGCTCTAGCAGGAGATTATTTTCTCCACTTCTTTAGTTGCCCGTGTCTCGACATGCTTCTGGCTCGGCTTCCCCGTCTTCCCTCGTCGTTCGCCTCCGCCTCTGCTGTCGGCCGTATCGGGCTTTTGGGTCTTGACCCGCCCTGTGCTGATCGACTAAACTCGATCGCTTGCCTGTATGATACCATGTGCTCTGCGTACCACGCTGCCAAGGCTCTCGACAGGTGCGGCCGCAGTGTTTTTTGTTTGACTCTCCCGGGCTCGCCTCAGGCGAACGGCCAGGCGCTCGCTTGCCGTCGCGCAGGTACTCCGAGGCCGACGAACCTGTCCCCATGGCAGCGTTGCTCCTCCCCCTCGTCCCTCCTGCTCTTTCCTCCCTCCTTCCTCCTCCCTCCTCCTCCTCCTTGCTCCTTCCTCCCTCCCTCCCTCCCTCTCCCCTCCCTCCTCCCTCCTCCCTATTCCCTCCCTACTCCTTCTTCCCTCCTCCTCCCTCATCCTTTCTCTTCCCGGCAATTCTGGATACGCAGATCTTTTCCCTCCCTCCTACCTCCTTCTCCCTCCTCTCTCCTCCCTCCTTCCCCCTCCTCCTTCCTCCCTCCTCCCTTTTCCTTCTACTTTCTCCCTCCCTCCTCCCTTCCGCCTCCCTCCTCCTTCCGCCCCCTCGCTCCGTCTCCTCCTCCTCCCTCCTCCTTCTTCCCTCCCCCTTTTACTTCTCCTTTCTCCCTCCTACCTCATCCTTCCCCTCTCCTCCCTCCTCCTCCCTCTCCTCCTTCCTTCCTCTCCCCCTTTTCGAACAGTATCGTAGGTTTCGCTTTTCCGCCGCCTTTTCTGGGCTCATGGGCACGGCGAGGTGCCCCCCCCCCCCCCTGTGTCCGTGCTAGTCGCGTTTGGGCCCTGCCTCACCGTGTTCATCTGTTTATGCTAGATCAGCATCGTTATTCGTTCGATCGGAGGAGGAAGAGGAGCAGGAACGGGAGGAGAAGGAGGAGGAGGAGGAGGAGGAGGAGGAGGAGAAAATGGAGGAGGATGAACAGGAGCAGAGGGAGGAGTAGTAGTAGCAGTAGTAAACATCACACTTTTTAAGTTGGTAGCGGAGGTTCGGCTCCCTTCCGGTATTCGCCGCCGTGGCCTGCCTGGCGCTGCCTCCGCCCTGCCAGTGCTCGACGCCTACGGCTCCTGCCCCTTCCGTCGTGTTCAGCACGCATGCTCCTCATCATCGGGCGCTCCGTGTTCGCGCGCCTTCTGATTCATGTTCGCCAAAGCGGACCACGGTATGCACCGCCCATTTTACGACAACCTCTACAAGAACGGCCACAATAATAACTTCAATCTTGACACGTACGATGCCATGCTCATCAAAGACCGCGGCGCCCCCTCGCCGCTGCCTGTCTCTCACCAGGGGCGTGCTCGAACTACGTTTGAGTCGCTCGCGGATCCAGAGGCTCTGTCCCCTTCGTTGTTGGAAATACGCACGGGAGGGGAATCGGCCACACGCAATGAACAGATGATTGACGCAGCGTTCACATCAGCGGGTTCTGTCAAATGCCCCGAGCTGCTCGCGACTATGTTGCGGGAGCCCCGGGAAGCCCAGTCGGATGAGAGTTCGCATGAGAGTTGGACGTCAGTGGAGTGTCTGGCGACTATGTTGTCCACTCTCCAAGGGGCAGAGAAACATATTTGGAACTATCTGCCCTCGATCTCTTGGAACGTGACCTATCGCCACGCCCGCTGACTCCTTTCTGTCTGGCAGGGTGGGATCCCGATGCGTGCTCCTCTAGACGATCGCGCCGTTAGTGGCATTCAGTGCAGTGACGACACGACGCGCGAAGGGCGTTCCCACAATTATGTTGTAGTTCGGCGAACGCCGCAACGACGCGACAGAAGATTATGCCCAATGCGCCGACGAGGAGGAATGCATTCGGGGCAGGTGCCGACGACGGTTCGGTTGGTCAGAGCAGCGCCGTCGGTGGGCCCCCGGCCTCTGGCACCTCCTGGACCTATGGGGGGGCCGCCTTTTTGGATGGAATGCCGTCGGGGTGCGCATGCTTGCCGCAGCCAGCTGCTTGACCTGAATTGGCGCAGGCGGCGGCAGCAGCGACGTGGGGCGCCCTCACGTCTGGGGGCCCACGCAGCCATCTAAGCTGCGTTTCCAGCGATGGGCGCGAGAGGTGATGGCTTGGCCAATGGCGAACTCGGACCTTGACGAGTTTCGCCAGGCAACATTTGCATCGTCGCGACTCACCGGCGTGGCGCATGAGTTCGTGGACGATTGGCCACCGGCTGTCCCGATCCAGGGGGGGCGCATCCACGGCGACCCAGTGCCGCCCATGGCCTTCCCTATGCGCAGTTTGGCCGAAAGTTGGGGCCAATTGGGCGAGGAAGAGCGCGCCTCTGCAGCGTCGGCTCTGCTGAACTTCGACAGACTGCCGCGGGTGCGCGTCGACGATCCCTCGTGCGCTTCGACGCCCTCCGCGACCGCGCGCAACAAGCTGGTCAGCTGATGATCTGCTTCGAGGACCTCAGCTTCATCTCTTCTTGCGCGCTGTCGGGGCGTCCAGCGCGGAGATGACGCGGCCTTGCGGCGCTGCCGCGTGGCCCGCCCGACCAGCGCAACGCTGCTCGCGCGCGCGACGGGCCGGCGGCGACGCTCTGGGCGCGCGGTCGAGGGGTCGCCGGGCCATCTCGCCTCAGCGGCCAACTCGGCCCGACGGCAGCCTCATGTCGTGGGTGCGCCCTCGCGAGAGAGGGCTCGGAGTGTCTGCGGCGCCGCGGCTGTGTGGGGCCGGGGCGGCTCGGGCTCATCTGCCCAGGGGGCAGCGCCGAGCCCGCCCGCGCCAGCGCCTCCAGCGCAGGAGGCATTCCCAGCAGCGGCAGGCATCGACTCAGGCGCCGACGCCGACGATGTCAACTCATTCGGCGAAGGTGGAACAGGCGCCGACGACCCCGAGCTACGCGATGTTCCCGTGGAACAGCGCGGGCGCTTGTTCCGGGCATGCGTGCGCGCCGAAGCGCGATGGCGGCGCCGGAGCAGCCGCCGGCCCGCGCGCCGCGTTCATTGGGGTATCTAAAGGAAGGGCAAGGGCCACGGCAAAGGTTGCCAGGCCGTCTGGGCCGACGCGTCCGAAAATTACCGCCGAGAGACATTCGCGGTACATCGGGGTGGGCGAGGGTACGAGGGGGGAGGTGTATTCAGGGCCAGTGTCATGGGTTCGGGCCGCCAAGTCGACCCTGTGGGCCCTGGCGGGTGCGCCTCGAATGCCGCGAGCGTGACTCAGAGGAGCGCCTCGTTCGCGATAACCCCTGGTGCCGCGG